AAAATAAAAACCAAAAAAAAAAAAAAAAAAAAAAAAACAAAAAAAAAAAAAAAAAAAAAAAAAAAAAGAACCAAAGATGGCATCAGATATTCTAAAAATAGAATGAAAGAGTGCTCATGAAGGGGTGCGGGGAATCCTTTTCTTAGTTTATTTTCTCTTGCTTAAACTTAGTGCCTTTTTTACCAACACATTCTGATATACTACAGTATACCTCTAATCTTCAAAGAGTGACTAGTCTTATCAGCTCTGTTCAGTTCAGAAGAAGCCCTAAACGAAATGGTTCTTCATATCGGAACACAAAAGATAAATATATATAGAAAAGTTGTCATATCACCTGATGGTCTACAGCTCAGGGATGCGGGCCGATCCCTGTGGTGCGGTGATGGTAAGGTCACTGTAATGAATATTGACGACAACCTTTAAACCAATTCCAGCGCACAAGACCCGATCATTAATCATTGCACTTAGATACTCTAACACGGCACACTCACAGCCAAGGCACGTCCGTGGATTTTTACTGCTTTACAGACTTTGCGCTACAAAGTAGGCCCTGGAAGGATTCTTCTGTATCTTGAGTGTTTAACAGCCACATACGGAATCTACCCTTTATGATTATATATCAAGGTTTCTCCCATATAAAGTTGTCGTTTTTGTGGCTATCATTTCTATATCCATATTTGGTAAGCTTACCTTGTTTGGAAGTAAACCCAGATTTCTTTTTGGGGATTTTTTTACCATTTAAAGCTTTATAATGTCGAAAATATGAATCAAAACTGCAGATATTATAGCAAAGAAATACTTAAAATTGTCAACCATCATGAATCTAGCTTAGAAACCTGGTCTTTTACAAAGGAAGCCCAGAAATCGAAGGAAGCCCAAAACGTCTAAAGCAACAGGTATCCCATGAAAACGACAATTATAAGTGGTTCATACTGGAAATGATAGTAATTGTAAAAAATGGCTTCCAAATTGGTTTTAAACGTAAAGCATCCAAGATACATATGATGACTATATCCCGGGCGGAGAAGGACCCCCATAAAATACAGTAAATGTATGTAATTTGGCTTGTGAGGGGGCCGTGAAATGCACTCTACGCCCGCGATGTAGTCTTTTTCTCAAAACGCAACATTCATTCACAAGACAAGCCTGTTATTCTTTATCCTTCTAGTTGGTTGTATCATAAAGCAATAGTACACGAATCCGAGGATAATGAGGATGGCGGATTTCTAATAACAAAATGTTCGAGAGACAGTTTGGGGACATATCTGGGGACATTTTTATCTCGATATAGACATTTATGCTAAAGTGAAATATATACTTAAAGCTTAAACTATATTAACATTTCATAAAATACGTGTGGGCTGGATTTTTTAAGATTAATATGACTGCCTTCCATCTACTATTTTTTATCTTCGTGTCTAAACCCCTTTCTAAACATAATTTTTTGGGGTGTTTTGGACAGACAAAATATTCTTCTAGTGGGGTTCCTGTGTTATGGACCGCTGGCTATACAGACTGCAGGAAGAAAATCCAAGATGGAGGTGGTTGAAAAGAGAGAGTCAGGTTTGTGCACTTTTATCGCCATTTTTAAACCTAGTTTACGACTGAAACTTGACAAATAAAGAAATTATAAACACATAACGACTTTTTCTTTTGAAAGTGTACTAGTTTTCTGGCCTCAAAATAGAATATTTCAACGTCTTAATTTGATGTAAAAAAATTGGTCAAAAGTTGTTCAAAGAAAAAGGATTATGGCAAAAATACTTTATGTGCGAATGTCTTGTATGATTTTCTAGGTCGAATCAAAGATTCAGCTTCCAAAAGGATACTCGATAAAGCGACAAGAAAACGAAGGCAGCAGCGTCAGCTAGAAGCACTTGAAAAGGACAACACCCATGAAGATCCACATGGACATCTTAATGTTTTACAGACAAAGATAAGAATCCCTGCTTTTAATGATACTATGGATGGTAAGCTAAAATGAGCTTTAAATATTTCCCTATGCAAATAAACTCCTTTATTATTACCTCATCGCCCAGTACTGTTGGACAGCTGTGACCTACTGCCTCACTTCACCACTCCATCCACATCTCCTGTGTAACTAATATAGATCTTACTAACGAAACATTTCTATTTTAGACAAGAAAAAAAAGAAAAAATCCAAAACAGGAGAGCATTTTAAGCAGGTACATCTTCATTAATCTGAAATTCTATTTTGATTGATCATATACCTTGGCTATTTCATTTCAACTTCCTTTCCTTTTTGTAGAGATTCAAAAGAACATTTGCTGCACTACTTGAAGAAGCAGTAAGTAGAAACTTAATTCCTGCCATTGCTTACTATTATTCTGTATTTAAAATAGGCTCACTTCCTTTGTCCATCCAGGGCTTAAGATAACAGCCAGACATAGCAAAATGTCCGGCCTGAACTTGGACTTGTCTGGTCAAATCCTTGCCTTGCAGGTCATTTTGACCAGTATCGTTTAGTCAGAAATGAGTTTGACTAAGCTAAAACTAATTTGTCCTGTTATCATGACCGACAGTTGATTTGCTGTTTCTTTAAGCCCTGTCATCACGAATTTGTATATGCTATTGAATAGGATGCCACACACTGATTGCCATTCATGCTTTGGAGATCACTAAAGAACAACAATTTTGTACCCCTTTCCCACCAGTACATGTGAAGCATGGATGGTAGTAGCATTTAGAGAGCTCACCCCTCAACAAAGCAACCCAAGTTCAATATTCTGAGAGTCAGCCTCGTATGTTAGTATAGTTGCTTGTTGGTTCTCTCCTGTGCTTTGAGGGTTTTCCCTGGTTACTATGGTTTTTACTCCCTCCACTTAAACCAATTTCTAAATTCCAAATGGAATCTAGCCACTATTAATTCCCTTTCATTTAATCTATTTATTTTACATACATCAAAGGTTCATAATCACTCTTTTATTTCAAGCAACAAGAACTAGAAGAAGGTGAACCAAGTTACGCTTCTGCTAACGTCCCTCCATCAAGATTTCCTGAAAGACATTTCTGTGCAGTCTGTGGATATCCTTTTATTATTCAGTCGATAGTAGATAAATTATTTGTCATCCCACTCAAAAATGGTTGAGGTGGTATTGAGTTGTATTCATATTCAAGTGTTTTCTCATGCACAACTGCTAAACAAAAAAATGATATTCTAGAGAATGACACATGGTCTGAAATAGGAAAACATTACTCCCAAGGTATACAGAAGTCTATTACACTTGTGTGAAAATAAATTTCACTTCCACTGCTTCATAAAATCTGACCTTATTTACTTATATACCCACTGGTACAGCTATTTCAAAACAGGATGGTGAAGGTTTTCTGGCATGTTTAGATTTCACTTTGCATGCCGCATGTTTCTTACCAAGTTTGAAATGCATTATATGTGAATAAAGTTAGCATGAATGAAAATACTGGCATGGCCAAAAAAGATAATGGAAATCAAGTTAATCTGATTGTATTGACATTGCCCAAAGTGCAGTCCAGGTTTGGTATCGAGTGTTTCATTCAACAAATCCTTAACCAAAGTTTTTGGAACAAGTTTTATAGAGAAATATTTCTGTATGACAAGTACTGTAGTTGTGTTTTTTCCTTAATACTGTGTACATTTCCATCAAATTATACCTGTGTATCGTGTGGAGCTCGCTACTGCTGTGTTCGATGTCTTGGTACCCACCAAGATACCAGGTATTGTTATATAGCTAAGTATTTTGACAGGAGGGATTGGAGGCCTTGTGGTTTACCGCTTGCCTCTCACTGCTGTGGCCTGGGTTTGAGCCTCAGTTTTTTTATATAACAAATATCTTTGGAAATTAGACCTTGTCTTGGGAAAATTTAAGACTTTCAGGGAAAAAAAAAAATTCCCTTGAGACCAGGCATTAAGTGAATATTGTAGGCTAGTAATACACTCAATTGAAGAATCATTGTCGGGTTCAGAAACATAGAACATAAAAGCTGAGACCGAAATGGCACATGGGAAATGACATAATTATATTATAATTTATTCATTTTTGCCATCCATGCAGTCGGTTTAGAATGCCAAACACGTATTAAAAGCAGTGGATGATGCCATGGGTCACCGGTCACAACATGCATCTAATTAATGTACTTCCCATGTGCCATTTCGGTCTCAGGTTCTATGTTCTATGTTTCTGAACCCGACAACGATTATTCAATTGAGTGTATACAACTGTATACCTTATATAAAGACTGTTTGTCTAGAACCACTCCAAACCTAGATTTTCTTCTGTCAAAAGTTAGAGAGATCTTGCTGTGGGAATCAAAGGTGGTGTGGCACAAGCACTCTCAACTCTCACTTTTGGGGTCTCTTCCTGGGCTTGGTATCACATGTGAGAAGAGTTTGTCGCATCTCCCTTGATTCAATGGTGGTTTTGTCTGGTTCTCCAGGCCTCCCCTCTCCACAAAACCTGTGTTTTGAGTTAGATCTTCTCTGAGGTTGTTTCATGATTTAATGAAATTTATGCTTGGCTGGGCTTTTGTATTCCTCTCCCTGTTTTTGAAGAAAATTCTTATTTTTACCCTAAGTTAGGAAATCATTAGACTTCAGTTGTCCAACAGTTATTTTCGCATAAAAGTTTTGTTGAAAGTATTGTTCAATTGCACGTCATCGCGGCCTCTCGGGGGAGCGTTGGTGCCATTAAACAAAAGATTTGTCATTAGCATCCATTGTCAACGGCACCACAATGGCCGCCATGTTTTTGTCTTTTGACTCTCTTGGGATTGCTTGCAATCCATCAATCCATACATTTGAAACATACATTTTATGGTTTTTCCTCTCAGATGTTTAAAGTGGACGGTATGAACTTATGCTCATCGACCAAGACATCATCATCAGGGCTTAAAGATGGACACGATAAAAGGTGTATGTTTGCTAATTAGTATTATTTATGACCCCAAGTGCAGCATTCTTTAAGGTTTGACACTGGGCCTGACGTGTCATTATTTATGATCGAGATCAAGGATTTCCTAGGGTTTCATCCCGTTGAAAGCTTATGCGGTACGATAAACGTGACTTGGTTCTCAGCTATTGCGGGTGTTGCGTGACTGAAGGATTTCCTAAAGTTTACTGCAATGGAAACAAATGTCGTACGACAAACGTGACTTGGTTCTCAGCTATTGCGGGTGTTGCGTGACAGAAGGATTTCCTAAAGTTCACCGCACTGGAAGCAAATGTCGTACGACAAACGTGACTTGGTTCTCAGCTATTGCGGGTGTTGCGTGACTGAAGGATTTCCTAAAGTTTACCGCACTGGAAGCAAATGTCGTACGACAAACGTGACTTGGTTGCCAGCTGTTGCGGGTGTTGCGTGTGTTTTAACATCAAGTACAAAATCACTCGGATATCAAAACCAAATGAAAAGGTTGAAAAATTAAGGAAACTGCACGCATTTCTTCTCGATTGTTCAAACTGACCAGTTTGGGCATAGTTAATGGAGCTCCATTAACTGTGGTTTCTGTGGGTGTTTTTACAACATAACACAGTTACAAAGACTGAATGATTTGATTAATCATCTCAGGAAATAATTTTGAAGCAGTTTCCAGTCATTTCTAGAAAGTGTTCGAAATCTTAATGAACCTAACAGGATTTTAGTTTAGATCTTACTGATTACTTCTCTACTACTGAAAAGTTCATCTTTATGATCAAACACCGTTTGCGCCATGATCAAGTCTATACTGTAAAGTGTCTTACATTTACATGTATATTTTTTTTTATTCCATGGTATTTTGGAATAAAGCTGACGTTATGGAATCAGAAAATAGCGAGGTTTCAAGTGCTAGCAACAACAGCAACAAACAAAGATAGATAGGTCATTGTTTATAAATACAATGCGGCATAATATGTTTGGCGTAAATTTAGATGTAAAAATAAACCAAAAATTGAAAAAATAAATTATAATATAAATATGAAAAATGTGTACTTCAAAGGCTAGTATGAATACTTAGTATAATTTTAGCCTTGAATCTAGAGTTTCTCGCGCTGTGATTGGTCGAGCGAGCGGTGATTCTGAGACGATAATCACTGCTCGAGCAGTGATTATGAGGTTTTTTCAAAGTTTGCCAGATCGGAAGTAATACTAAAACGTTTAAAACCCAGAATTCACTAATTCTCTGTTATGCAGCGTTAAAAATGGGATTTGTGAATTTTATTTAAAATTTGTTTGAGTGGCCTTGGTTGATGCAGTGTCGCACTGTAAATATAATATAAATTTTAACACTAGAAGAGCAGTTTAACAAAAAGAGTTCCTAAATCTGTCTTTGCGTGTATGAGTGGTGATTTGGGAGTACGGCCATGACGTATTTCCGGCTACTCAATATAACCTGAATTATACATAAAAACAGGATTCGTTCTTAAAACTTCATTGTTTGAAATTGTTTTACGGATATTATCATTGGTGAGCGGGAAATGGTTCTTTTCTTTTTTTCTTAAACGAAATCAAAGCCGTTTTAATGGACGTATATTCGTGTACGCATTCGAATCTGATTGGACTTTTGTTGAAATACAACCGTTTGTTCTACTAATAGAGATATCCATTGTGCTATATTGTGAATATTTCTTATTACAATCCTATCCATTAAATCTTTTTGTCGCTTTTCTATATTAATTGGTTGATAAAAATCGTTACTCTAGAAGTTTTTCATTGGAGGCAATTTCCTGTTTTTTCCCTTCGATTTTCCATTTTCATTTTCAATATTCTCTTCATAAACTTGCTCCCCGTGAAGGATTTTCGGTTTGAGTCGACAGCTATGTCTAACGTATCTTGGAACGAGAGCTGTCCATTTTCCTTCCAATTTGACCCTTACAGCGTCCGCAGTTTTCCACCCTCAGCCATACCAACGTGGATCGCAGTTAGCACAATCAACAGCATCTCTGCCCTACTGTCATTTTACATCAATCTGTTGGTGATCTGGACGATCTTTAAAAGAGAAAACCTCCGTTCTTTGAACTACAATCTCTTGCTAGCCATTCTCTCTCTGACAGATTTGCTGGTAGGGCTTGTAGTTCAGCCACTTTTTGTCACTAACCATTTGTGCATTATTGTGCAATGCACACAACTTTGTAGTGTCCACTCGGCCTTTGTAGTTTCATCTATCATGTGTATTGGATGGTCCTTTAGTACTTTGGTTATTATATGCGTTGACCGATATCTTTACATAGAGTATCCAATGTACTATACCGCTGTCGTCACAACTAAAAAACTCAAAGTAGCGACGGCAATTACTTGGCCAGTGATTCTTGTCATTATATTATTTGGTCGAGTGATATTCAAAGACTCTGACAAAACGAGAGTTTTGCTAGAAGTTTTGATCATAGCTTTAGGCGTCGTTATCATCGTCTTCTGTCTTACAAAAGTAAGCCTTACAGCTCATCGCCAGACAAGGACTATCAGCATCCAGCAAGCCACCTTTCAGCAGACAAACAACAGCGTCCTGGACAGGATCAAAGAAGCCAAACGAACTTTCACTTTAGGATCGATAGTGTTAGCATCGGCACTGCTGTACTGTCCGTTCGTAATCATCAACATTATTACTGGTATAAAGGGACAGGGGGACAATGCAGACTTCAAATATATTTCAAGATCTATCGCGTTGACGTGCCTTCATTTCCAGTCGCTACTCAATCCATTTATCCTGTCACTTCGTCTTTCACCTATACGTGAAGGAGTAACCACGAAAATGCGAGCACATCTTGCATGGCTTGTTCCGTAAATAAAACAAAATCGAGGGTTTTTCCCCGGGTTCTCCGGTTTTCTTCCCTCGTTACAACTAAGATAAAAGAAAAATGTATTTCAAAACAATTTCTTAATAAAAAATCAATTATTTATCCAATTTTTTAGTATTTATTTATCTTAAAATTCACATATGCAGTTGAGTAATTTTGATTTAAGACCTTAAATGACGGACCTAATGATTAAAACTGACCCCTAGCTTATAATCTATAGACCTCTTGCAGCACTTTGGAATGCTGCTCAATCTGGGGGAAAAAACAATAGGTTCCAATTCCCAGGAGGTCGGAACTCTTGTTTTGTCCCCCAGATCGAGCTTCTATAATATTAATTAAAAATGACCTAATAATCTATAATAATGATTGAAATTCAGTGACCTAATGATCCATAATAATGATTAAAATTCAGTGAACTAATAATCTATAATAATGATTGAAATTCAGTGACCTAATAATCCATAATAATGATTAAACCTCAGTGACCTAATAATCTTCAATAATGATTCAAACTTCATGAATAATTAATAAGCATTTAGACCTATCATATCCTTCAAATCCATCATGTGCATAGATCTTTATAACTGATAATAGTTCAACATGGTTATCTTTATATAAAGATTTTGAAATCTTTATAAAGGACCAAAAGAGTACAAGAGCATGTCTCGAATAAGGACCCTAGATGTTCATTAATTATTCATCATTTTTTGATGTCGTTCCATAAACTCGAAGATCTTTTTTTTATCAGGTCCAAAACCACTTGGCTACGCCTCGTGGTTTTAAACCTGATAAAACACTCCTGCTTATTTACTAAACTATACTTAAAACTTAGTGAAGCCAATAACCTATAATAATGAATTAAACTCGGTGACCTAATAATCCATAGTGACGATTAAAACTCACTGAATATTGGTAAAAGAAACTAATAATCTAAAATAGCCAGACTAAAACGTTTCAAAGTTTTGCAATGTGTTCAACGCGTTCTCTCAACGGTTTAAGACTTAATTGGACCCATCGCTCGGAAATAAACTTTTCTTGTACTTGATGTTGTAATCGTTTCATTCTTTCTCGACGTTCCTTCGAATTCATGGAGATGGCTTGGTACATGGTTTCCTCCATTTCCTGTTCGTTTTCAGGGTCAACCTGATAAGAAAGATGCCACATGTCAACAAAGATGTCACTTGTCAACGAAAATATCACATGTTAACGAAAATATCACATGTTAACAAAGATGTCACATGACAACGAAGATGTCATATGTCAACAAACCTATAGACATAAACAAATCTGTCTTCTGGAAAACATTTCCTTTACCTAGAACATTTAGATAGGTTGATATAAGTTGCAAATAACCCAAACGCTACTAGCCTTTAAAGCATCATCATCATGAATATATTCTGCAGCACCAGTTTTCTTGGACAGGATAAGCACCCCAGGCTCGGCTGGTTGGCAGGCGATGTACTCCAAAGCGACCAAATTTAAACCGTCAATAAGGGGCGTAACCAAGGCAACGTCTGCTTTCTTGTACAAAACAGACAAATCTTGTTGGGACAAACTCTCAAGATGGAGACGAATGTTCGATTGATATTTGAAGTTTCCAACACGATTCTTTAATTCTTTTTTCAGTTCTTCGTACTTGGGTTCAGTGTCCCTGCATGGAACAGCTATTTGTAGAAAGAATACTTTGTGGCTTAGTTTACGTTTTTCGAGAAGCTCTTGAAATGCGTCAACTTTTCGTAGAAGACCTTTGGTATGGTCTATTCGATCTACTCCTATCAAAAGAGTCTTTGGATTCTTTGAGCACTCATTCACCCAGGTCTTTAAGTCTTCTGGAAATTTCTGGTTATAAACAAAGACAAGCTTGGTATTCATTCTGGTTTTGGAGGTTGGATGTTTTGTTTAGTAGGGTGACCATGGTGCTAGGGCCCATCCCTTCAGTTTATGGTTTGGATCCCTTGGGGAACAAAAACAGATTGATCGTCTCTCCACTAGAACCATCTTGTCTTAATGCGAACGATGATTCAAGGGACCCGTCATTAAAAAAAAATTTTTTTTTGGGGGGGGGGGGGGGGGGGGGGGGGGGGGAGGTTGTGCGCTGGTGCAACCGGTATGCCATGTTCGAGTCCCCTCTTTCGTGAGGATTGATTTGTTCTAATTCCCCTTTCTCCCTTCATAAAATTTGGCGACCCACCTATTTGCACCAGCCCTCCCCCCAACCCTACCCTCTAAATAATGACCTGTCCCTATAAGATAGAAATACGACGACGAAACAGAATCCGAAATAATAATTCAAATCACCTGATTCCTACTAGACTTTTGAGAGATGTCTAAAATTCGGTATGATAAGTTAAGATGGCGCCTTCAATACCTCAGAAAATTCCTCTTTAGATTGATCCGAGAACGTCTTGTACACTATTCCTGCAGGTACAACTTGTACAAGAACCTTGCGCCCCTCACGACCAAGCTGCAGCTCATACGAGTCATCGGTTAGAGGTTTGAATGTGCAGCCCTTGTGCTTCTCGCAACACTTTAGGAAGTTGTCCCTGTATTTTCGAGTGTGAAATCCGATGGAATCATATCCTGAAAATCATCGGTTACCAAGAAATTTGAAAAAAGGTTTTTAAGAACCCAAGACGAATCACTAACTTTGGAAGGCGAAACTACTGTTGGATTCCCCGGGTAGATAAAAGACAATCAGACTTGCATGAAGTACCGTGGGGAGAAAAATATCATTAAATATCATCTAAATTAAATAAATATCATTTAATATACAACACTGCAGTCGCTCTGGAATACTGTATTTTAAAAGCATCACCCTTTTACTCGTGACTCAC